AGCGGTGACGCACTTCCGGCCCTGGAGCCTGCGCTCTGGTTTAGGGGTCCCTCGTGAAGCGTTTGCGCCAAGGCGCTGTGTGCCTATCAGTTCGTCTGCAGAGCGGTCAGTAAGGCAGTGGGGCTGGTGATGTCAAAATTTCTGTTCGGGTCCGAGTTCGTTGTCTGGCAAACTTGAAGAATGAGTTCCCGGACAAAGACGGTAAGCGGTCATTGAGACATAGACAGACTCCCTGCCATAGGGAGCAGCAGGGAGCGGGCCCAACCGCGTGGCCAGTTAAGTTTCCTAGTCTAGGGGTAGACATATGCTCTGCTGTCTTCTGCTTGGTTCGTTCAAAGAATTCTGCCGTAGTACCTTTTAAAGCTCACGTCTCCCCGCACCCTTCTTTCCCGCCCCGTTGGGTTGCCCGTTCTGTCGGGACCGGGCGTGGTCAGCAAGCTGCACTTCGCCCAGGTCTGCAGTGTTCCACCCTCCACACCCGCCTGGGATCCCGTCCTTGCCTGCCTAGCCCTCTTCTATCTCTTTGGGTTTGGAGAAGGATTAGCGGAGGGGGGCCTCCTTCCCTCCCATCACCGCTGATTCTATCTGCAGTGTTCCACCCTCCACACCCGCCTGGGATCCCGTCCCTGCCTGCCTAGCCCTCTTCTATCTCTTCTCTGGGTTTGGAGAAGGATTGGCGGAGGGGGGCCTCCTTCCCTCCCATCACCGCTGATGCTAACTTGCACGTTGAGCGAAGCCATCACTTGGCCCGGATTCGCGGGGGTTCTCAGAAGCCCCCCCGAGAGCATTGTTTAGGTGTCCTTCCACCTTTATCCATACATGGCCCAGGATGTTGAGCAACTGGGCACCGACCAGAAGGTTCCATTTATCTGTTGTGGTTACTATATTGGGGTTCTCTGTGCGGTCTCTAGTCCGTTTGCACCGCCAACCTCCCAGTCTTTTTGCCCTTTGTTCCTCTTCTAGACGATACTGACTGCTCCCCCCAATGCCTGCCACTTCCTGCCCACAGCCTCACCCCAGAATGCAACAGCAGTCCCGTTGGATTGGAGGTGCAGGGGAGAAATTATTTCACTCTGCCTTTAGATTGGGTAATAGTTTCACTTAAGTTAGGGATGGGCTTACTTATGGTTCCTTTGCCTTCCTAGCATTCAAGATTTCTTCTTTTTTCCAAGAATTGAAGGGAACTCCTTTATGGCCGCTGGGCTCTTGACAACCCCGCCCACGCATATATCGGTGTTAACCTAAAAATAAAAAGCCGAAGTGCCAGGCAGCCGGTGTTTACTTATGGGTAATAGTTTCACTTAAGTTAGGGATGGGCTTACTTATGGTTCCTTTGCCTTCCTAGCATTCAAGATTTCTTCTTTTTTCCAAGAATTGAAGGGAACTCCTTTATGGCCGCTGGGCTCTTGACAACCCCGCCCACGCATATATCGGTGTTAACCTAAAAATAAAAAGCCGAAGTGCCAGGCAGCCTGTCTTTACTTAAGATCAAAGAATAGCTATTCAGGAAGTACTGATTCAGGCAGAAACCCAAAGAGTGTTCTGATTATGGGGTGAGGGAAGGGGAATAATTATGTGCATAGAAGAGACTGAATATACATATGGATAATGGCCAGACCATATAGAAAAATAGAACTCTGACCTGCAACCTCAAGCAATCAGCCCAGGACGGTAATGCATTATCTGCACTAACCAGTCCAAGTCAGACTACTGTCTGTGTCAACGAGTCCAGGAAGCCATAATAACCCTCGTATCCCCAAACAGCCAGAGTTTGATTAATATGCTCCCCTGGCCAATTACATACAATGTTTTGCTCCTAGCCAACCCTCATGGCAACAAATCTCCTCTCAGAGCACACCCGAAGCCTCCTTTTTTCCTACTACAAAGCTTTCCCACTTCTCTGCGTACTTTGAGTTTCTGCCAAATGCAAGTGACTATGGCCAGCTCCCTTGCTGTTATAAACTCTGAATAAATATCGTTTGCTTGTTCCCGTTTGGGTGGTCTTCATTTATTTCCACAACTCCGTTTGAGTTTAACTTCCTGACATGCTGTGTGGTGCTCGGTAAGCCATTTCCTCTCTTTGGACCTTCTTTTCTTCAACTGAACATTTGAAGAAATGTTCAACATTTATTTTA